TGCGGCCGCACTTAGGGATTATAACCCTCACTACGTAGAGTTCTTTCTATTGTATTGTTTTGTACGGTATGGCAAAACATCTTATGTGTCAGTTTGCAACCATTTGTTATTGTATCATGATTGTAAATATGGGTGCAATGTAATGTAATTACAAATTAATAAAAGTTTTGGGTGGGCTTTAGTAGTCAGCCGCACCTTGTGTTTTAAGAAAACCAGGTGGAATTAACAATTGAAACTTAGTCAGGATGTTAAGGGAGGTATCCTCTAAAACATGTATAACTAAAAAATATAAACAATATAATTGTATAAAGTTATTTGTTGTTAAAATTTCTTAAGACGTTCCACTTGATTTCCCTATCAAAGAGTGCATTTGTCACATACTTTCATATATATAAATGCACATAACACTACCTAATAGTTTAAGCACTTTTATTTTATTTTATCTTGTATATAAATCACTTTAATCCAACTTTTATTAACTTGTAATTACATTACATTGCACCCATATTTACAATCATGATACAATAACACATGGTTGCAAACTGACACATAAGATGTGTTGCCATACCGTACAAAACAATACAATAGAAAGAATTCTACGTAGTGAGGGTTATAATCCCTAAGTGCGGCCGCAGGCCGCCTACGCAAAAAGCTGTTCTCTGCAAAAGTTGTTCCGCCCCCTTTTTTCGGCACCACAGAAAGGAGAATTCTACGTAGTGAAGGTTATAATCCCTAAGTGCGGCCGAACGCCGCCTACGCAGAAAGGTGTTCTCTGCAAAAGGTGTTCAGCCCCTCTTCTTTGGCAACACAGAAAGGAGAATTCTACTAAGTGAAAATTCCGTATTAGAAATCCGCTATTATTCAAAATTTCAGTCTGGCAGCACCAAGTTTTATGTTATTTTGCTATCTTATTCATCGTTTATATGAAAACTTTAACAATAAATTATATAAGAACTATAGGGTTGCTAGAAAAAAGGGGGTGTTTTTGAAATCAGGGGGTCCTATTCTACCCCCCTTTTTCTAGAATTTGCCGTCCGTCTACTAAAATTTTCCTTGGTCGCCAGCGAACATTTAGCCATTCAATTTTTTTTTCGTGCAACCCTGCGTGAGTGGAAAGCAAAAGTTGAACGCAAAATCGGCTCGTGCGAACACCTTTTAATACTCGTATTGNTAGGGTCCCGACGGAATATGCATGTTGATGCTGAAAAATTTGGGTCCTGAGGGAGTAGCGTACCTAACGGACGTCCTGAATTTGTCAATAGCCACTCTCATCATCCCAGACATCTGGAAGTTGGGGAGAGTGGTCCCACTGCTCAAACCGGGGAAACCAGCCAACAAAGGAGATTCTTATCGACCGATAACATTCCTTTCTCCGGTAGCGAAGACACTAGACGCCTTGCTGCTGCCCTATTACACGAACCACCTGACCCCAGCGTAGCATAAGCGTGGTTTCCGTAAAGTGCACAGTACAACAACAGCACTTAACGCCATAAACACTTAGATAACTCGTGGCCTTAGCCGTAACCGTCCCTGTGAGAACTATTCTAGTAGCGTTGGACTTGTAAAAGGCGTTTGGTACCGTCAGCCACTCAACGCTACTAGAAGATATAGAGGCTTCCTCTCTCCCACAGGGGTTCAAACGGTGGTCGGCAAATAATCTGAGAGTGGTCGATACTCGTCGGTAATGTTTAGAGACAAATCGAGCAAACTCAGAAAAATAAAACAGGGGCTTCCACAGGGTGGTGTGCTTTCCCCGTTAGTGTTTAACTTTTATATTTCAAAGCTCCCTCAACCACCAGAGGGAGTCTCGATTGTCTCTTAAGCCAATGATTGCTCGATTATGGCGACTGGGAATGGAATTGATACCTGTGTTCGAAAGTAGACGGGTATCTCTCCGAGCTTTCTCACTTCTTCACTGCAAGGAGCCTAACCCTCTCCCCTACGAAATCCTCTGCGACCTTGTTCACCACCTGGACGAAGGAGGTCAGGCTACCGGAGTAACCTTCGACAGTATGCTCTCCTTCTCTGCGCACGCAACCTCTATTGTCAACAAAGTACAGAGCCGCAACAAGGTCCTCAAGTCGATAGCCGGCAGTACTTAGAGCAAAGACAAAGAAACGTTGCTGGCAGCATACAAGGCAATAGGCCAGCCGGGTTTAAATTACGCAGCACCAGTGTGGTCGCCGGGACGCAGTGGATGAAGCTACAGACGACACAAAACACCGCACTTAGGACAGCGACTGGATGCCTTCTGATGTCGCCAGAATATCACCTGCACGACGAGGCGAAAGTGCTCCCCGTTAAGGAGCATAACACAATGCTCAGCAAGCAGTTTCTGGTTGGAAGCCACAGACGTGGTCACCCAAATAGGCCACTGCTTGCATAAGAGCCCTCACCCAGGCACGTCAGGAGGCATCTCTAAGAACTGACGGACGAAGTCCAAAGGTTCATTAAGCAGCCTCTGGACCCGTCAGCATATCGACAGGCCCTGAACGGCATTCACAGGGAGTAAGTCTCGAGTTATGTAGACTCCAGGCCTGTGAATGCCGTTCTAGGTACACAACCACCGTACTGTCTTTTGTTTATTTAATGTTTATTATTTTTTTTATAAAAGTCCAGCTGGTATATAACAAAAACCATATAAATTCAGATTTCAAACTGTAAAAAAATTCCGCTTATTTTCACCAAAATTTCAAACTTTTTAATCAGAATTTTGGAATGCAGTTTTGTAGACCATTTAATACTAGTATAATAAAGTGCAACTTTCAAGCTGCTATAAAATCCCGTTAATTTTTGTAATTTTTTTTGCTGGCAGTGTCCTCCATATAAAAGAAAATTGTCGAACATACTTCTGTATGGAAAAAACGTGAACACCTTTATCCAAAAAAAAATCATTTTTCGAGCTGTCTGCAAATGTTTTTTGATGTTGGCTATTGTCTGTCGCTTCACTAGAACATATGAAAAGAAATCTATACTTCTATACTCTATACTAATTATATAAAGAGAAGTCCGCGAACGGCTGGTCCGATTTTCATGAAATTTTGTATACAAATAGCTTTCGGTAACCACCATGTTTTAGGCTAAAAAAATTTTAGGTAGGTAGACCAGGGACCGGTGTATTCGAAAAAATCTTTTTATAGTCCGATTTTCTTAAAATTTAGTACGTAAGTAGCTTTTTAGCATATATGACCCATTTTTTCCGGGAAGTGGTCCAGGGACCGATCTATTCGATGATACGAATTTAT